TTTGATAGGTTTTATAGTTTATTGTTTTTGGTTTGATTTTAATTATAATTAATTAATCATATTATATATATAATATGATTAATTATATTGTTCTATTCAATACTCTTGTTTTGATAGGTTTTATAGTTTATTGTTTTTGGTTTGATTTTGCTATATCTGATTGAATGGACAACTATTGTGAAGGTAACAAGATATACTGTAGTACCTATTACTGTTGTCCCAGTATCCTGCTGTGAAGTTCTGTACCAATTTCACTGCTTTGTCTCGATTGGCTTTGTTCTGTTGTATTTTACTACCTTCAAAACAATAATTTAAAAAATTCAGTGAAATAAAACACACAAAGTTAAATATTGCATGACTGCTTTTATATGAACTCTTCTCAAATACAGAAAGCAGGAGTGGCTATCATTAAAATTCTACTGAGAAAAAAGAAAATATCCAAGAATGAAGAAGGGTAATACATGGTGAAAAGGGTGAATTAATCAAGAAGAGATAACAATTCTAAATGTTATATACCTAGCAGCAGAACTTCAGAGCACATGAACTAAAAAAGAAAGACCTGAAAGGAGAAGATTAATGTTTGAGGTTTTAATACACTCATCTTTATAACAGGCAGAACTAGTAAGTAGAAAATCAGTAAGAATATAGAATATCTGATCAACCAGCCCAACAAATTGACTTTCATAGACCAACATACTTAAAAACAGCTCATGAAATATTTGCCAAAAGAGATCATATTCTTGGCTGTAAAACAAAAGCCATAAGACCAACTCTCTCATACCTCTTTAGTAAGTTCATTAATACTATCTTCCATTAAGGCACAGCCCTCACAACCTAACACCCTCCTCCAAAGCCCCAACTTCTAATACCACCACCTTGGTGATAAGGTTTCAACACATAAATTTTGGAGCGACACATACAGTAAAACCCCCACTTGTGCATGATTCCAGTTCTCAACATTTCAGCTACCTATGGTCAACTTTGGTCCAAAACTATTGATGGAAAAGTCCAGAAAAAAACAGTTTATAAGTTTTTAAAGTGCTGTTCTAAGTAGCATCTTGTGTTTTCCTGCTTTGTTCCACCAAAGACAAGAATTCTCCCTTTGTGCAGTGTTATTCACCTGAATGTGCCATCAACCCCTTTGCAGAGAAGAGAAACAGAGACAGAGACAGAGACAGAGACTAGATTCACATATACATGTTACAGTATAACTTTCTTGTGACTGAGTCTCGATACTTGACAATATGCAACTTGAAGGACAATTTCTAAATTTTTAATTTTTATTAGTATATGTTTGCAGCACATAGTGATTACATCTATGGTGGGAAGGTGGAATAGGCACATAATACATCCTAATTTTCTTTACATTTCCTTTACCCCATCCTTCTTACTCCCTCTAACTCTTGGTTTCTTTTTCATTTGCAAAAGATCTCCTTCTTTCCTATTGTCTGTCTTTCATTTTACTCTTTAATTTATTTGTACTTTGGGTTTTTCATGTAAGATATTTATGTTTGTGTGTCTGATTTTTTCAAAGTTTTGTTTTTATTAGTATATATTAGGATTACATAATGATCACATTCATTGTGGGGAGTTGGTACAGTTTTTTTTGGATCACTGGTTTTAGAGGTTTTAGTCCATATTTGGCAGGCTCCAAGGTACGAGGGGCAGAAGGGTCTGCCACAGAGGAAGCTGCTTACATTATGGCTGCCAAGAAGCAAGGGGAGGGAGGGGTTGGAAGGGGGATACTCTTCCGGGTCAGACCCCAGTGATTGCTCTCCCACCAGACCTCCCCTCTTAACAACTCGTCAGCTTTATCATTCCATGATTCAACCACCTTCACACCTACCCACCTGCACCTCTGTTATGGACAATTTCCATTTCTTATAGTCAAGTGAACTCCATGGCTCATTCCTCAAAGCTTTGCATTTGTAAGCAATTTTCCCTCCTACCCATAACAGTTCTGTACCTCACCACTTGTACCTCTAGAACAAAACCTCCAATGTTGCTATCCCTGGAAAATTTTTCTTTAACCACATTGATCCTACCTGAGCATTCTTTCTCTTGAGTTTTTTTTTTAAGACCTGAACCTTAAAAATTAGTCCATAAAATGATTTGGAATAAATCATTGGCTCTTGATTCATGTGAATTAGTCTTGTCTTGGAAACTAGACTTTTAATAGTCTAGTTTTAAATGTTTCAAAATGTCTATACTTGATTTTAACAGCTTAGAGAAGAACACAGAGTTCTTACCAGTTGGATGGAAGACTAGATGCTGGAGGAGTGACCAAAAAGACTTCCTAGAGATTTGGATCCAAGGACTTTGGGGGGTAAGGGGGTGGGTGAGATCATTCATAAGAGGACAAGAAGTTCTCAGGAATACTCAAGATCCTCGATTTACAATAAATTATAATGTGCAAGGTCAAGTTAGTTACATAAATGCATAGATCAACGGGCAGGGTATAAGAGTGAAACGTCTAGATGACAACTGAGATTTAAAGATTGTTTTAAAGATTTCCACCCAAATAGATCAAAGATCTAAATATTAAAATAGAAACACTAAGTTTACTGGAAGAGAAAATAGGTAGGAATCTCGAAGACATAGGTGTAGGCAGAAACTTCACGAACAAACACAGACTGCAAGGGAAATATTACAAAGAACCAAAAAATGGGATCTTGCCTTATTAAAAAGCTTTTGCACAACAAAAGAAATCATCAACAGAGTGAAAAGACAACTTAAACAGTGAGAAAAAATTATAGCCAATTGTCCCTTAGACAAAAGACTTATATCTAGAGCATATAAAGAATTGCAAAAACCAGACTTTCCAAATTCAAAGATCCAATCCAAAAATAGACATCTGAGATACATCTCAGATGAAGAAATACAAATGATAAATAGATACATGGAAAAATGTTCAACATAATTGGTCATTCAAGAGATGCAAATTAAAACAACACTGAGATTCCATCTCATCCCAGAAAACATAACTATCATCAAAAATTCAACAATAACAAATACTAGCAGGGGGATGAGGAAAAAGGAGCCCTTCTCCACTGTTGGTGGGGTGTAGACTGGTGAAACCACTGTGGAAATCAGTGTGGAGAATCCTCAGAAAACTAGGATTGGGAGTCACATTCAATCCAAGTATTCCCTTCTGAGTATCTTCCCAGAAGAATTAAAAACATCATACCACAGTGATATATAAGCAGCCATGTTTGTAGTGGCGGTTTGTAATAGGTAAATCTTGGGAAACAACTCAAATGTCCATCAACCAGAGAATGGATAAAAAGATGTGATATATCAGTTTATATATATTATATATATCATATATATGTATGAGTCATAAAGAAAGAGACTTTTATAGGTAAATAGATGGAGGCTGAGACCATATTCTTAAGTGAAATAAATCAAACCCATATGTGTAAACATCATATTGTTTCACTAATGCGAGAAACTGAATGAGTATACAAAAATGTACAACAAATATTATAAATTGTGAAGAAACAGTTCAAAAGAAAAGACAAACTCTGATAGGGGATAGGAGAAAGGAAGGAAGAGAAAAAGAATAAGTATATTTATACACAAGATAGTTAATATAGTTATATAGTTAGTTTCTCTTAGAGTTCATTGCAAAGAAGAGTTTGTGCTAATATTGTTTGGACAAGATATCATGCCTGTATCTTGCACTCTGAATAACTACTATGAGGACAGCAATATGCAATGTATTAATTATTTTAAGTCTACTACTAACCTGTTTTGAAACAATTTTTTTGCTCTTTAAAATAAAAAAAAAACCAAAGATTTCCAAAATCCAAGTCAAACAAACAAAAATCCTACAAGCAAATAGCACCTATCTCAAGCAGAGAAGATACACCCACCAAGAGCAGATAGGCTGAGTCCTGTAGTCAGAAGTGGCTACTAACCTAGCTCTCTGTCTTTCCTCTCCCTGAGAAGGCAGAAGGCTATCACATGGGCAGAAACAGCTCAGGAACATCAAACCTTGGACAGAGCCCCAGACATAAACTATATTAAAGGGCCTTCCTGGAAAGCAGCGTTTACAGACCTCACCCACACAGACAGGAGGATTCTTTTCTTTCCTCCTACGGTGTCATTTAAAGATATGAGTCAGGCTTAGTGGCCTAACTCACATGGAATCCCAGTGTTGATCAAAGGCTGAGGTAAAAGTATCACAAGTTCAAGCCCTGCATGGGCAATAATTTATCGACTAATCAAGACCCTAAATCAAAAAATAAAAAATTCTGCAGATGTAACTTAGTACAAAGGTCCCAAGTAACATGCACACACACACGCATGCACACACACATGCACACACAGAGCCACCTAGGCCCTTCCTTGCTACATAGTCATGGTCTTTTCTTCTCTCACTTCTGATTTTTGATCAGCTGTTGTCTGAAACATCCAAGCTCTCCATCCCCAAGCTATAATCACTCTCTGATCTCCCTTAATGCTGTGTGTTTCTCAAATGTATTTCCAAAACGGAGTTGGAGAATTGGTGGAAGTTCCTCTGTCCCAGCCATTCCTTCTCACAAGCTGCCCTGTGGTAGTCAAGTTATCTGAGAACAGGGGAAGGAGAGCGCTGCACCAACAGTCTGATGTGGGAAGTTGAGAGTGAAGAGAATGGGACATAGACGCTGCTTTTGAATGTGGCACATAGATCCAGGCTAAGTAACTTTTACTGATGTCCATCAGTGTTATGGCTTATATCTAGATCTCCCCCCGCAAAGTCTCATGTGCTAATGGGTGGGGCTTTAGAGAGATGTTTGGATCATGGGGTTGTGAAACTTATCAATGGATTAGTCCACTGATGAGTTTACAGTTAAACATAATTTAGGAGGTGAAGCCTGGTTGGAGGACATGAGCTGGAGATGCAGCCTAGAGGAGTCTGTGTCCTTTCCTCCTCCCTTGATCCCTCTCTGCTTCCTGCCACCATGTTGTGAGCTGTTTCTCCTTTGCCAAGCCACCCCGCCTTGGAACCAGCTGAATATAGACTTAAACTTCTACAAACTGTGAGATAAAATAAACCTTCCTTCCTTTAAATTGTAGATATCAGGTATTGTGTCCAGGGACAAAAAAGTAAGATTTTCATCTACAGACCACATCACCACATCTGCTTCTCTTAGGAAACAGAAGGGCTTTGTGATGAAGTTTCGTGGTCTGGTTCTGTCTTCTGTGAGGTGGACATGACAAGGCCTGGCACGTGGCATCATTGGTCACTGGAACTCTGAATGCCTACATGTAGGGATGGCTGGTCTCCTCATGCTAATGAGGTTTAGACCATGATGATCCCTACCTTTGTTCTGCGGGATATCTTGTACCTCTTATATACCTATGGATCTATCTTTATTATTTTCCTAATTATTTGGCAAGTGAGCTGGAATTACCATGGATTGAGATTTGAATATAAGAGGAGCTGCTGCCAGGTAGGAAACATTGTGACCACAGTTAAATTAGGTTAAGCCGTAAGTAGGGAGTCTTCAAGCTCCAGAGTTCCTCTGTATGATCTCATTATCCTTCTCTGCCAGTTTTAATACCAGATCTTCTTGTACCTTTTTCTTGCGGGCTAAAAGTAATTACTTACTACTCCTTGCCTGTAGGATATTGTAATAGAAAAACCAATAACCTGCCTGTTTGGTTTGAGTAAAGACCTGGATATGGGATCCACTACACTGGATCAAAAGCCTCAGAGGTCTTTCAGTGTGAGATAACTTTCTGGTTTACAGTCCTTGAAGGCATTACAAGATGAATTCTTGTGACTGTTAGAAGCATACCTTCTCATGTGTATTCCATTCTTCTTCTAGCATTGTCTTAGGTCTTTAGAAAGACTTCTGCTGGTACCTGGATGGGGAGATATAAAGTTTTTATAAAGCCTTGGGATCAATCATAAATAAGTTGATAAAAGGAAGTGTTGGGGTAAGAAAATGTGGAGTAAAGATTTTAAAAAGTGGGAACATAATTAAAATATAAATAAATGCAGGAAGTGGGCAATGTATTTGGGCTCTGTCTTAATCTGAATATGAAGAAAAAAAGGCATTCCAGATTCACATTCTAATATTTTTGTCTTTAAGCGTCACCAAAAAATCAGGCAAAGGGCTAGAAATGCGGCATCAAAAGGTAAAGTCCCAGTCTCTCCTTAACTGCCTTCCACTGTGGAATAGCTTTCTGTGATTTCTGCCCCTCTATGATACCTGGTGCCAGGACTCAAGTGCTTTAACTTTGGAGTGTCTAATTCTCCAAATTCATGACTTTCACAGACGACTTGGGTGGGTGGGAAATCAGAACATGGAAATGTACCAAAATTACCCACCCAATTCCCCTGAAAATAAAGAATTGAGGAAATAGTACAAATGTTTCTAACTCTATCGCTGGTTAGTTTCAAAATCCTGCGTAAATTACATCTGATGATCCCTCAGAGCGCACTTGTGAAAACCAGATGAGAACAGTTGGAGAGTAAGCAAGTTTCAGATGATTAGAGTGTGCCCACACGTCTCTAGAATAGTGACCGCTGGGCTTTCCAGTAAGTCCCTTCTCACTGGGAGTAAAGGCCTCCAGCTCCCTAGAGAGTGAGCACTCACATGCCATAAACTGTGTCCTTACTCCTCAGCCAGGAGACTTTACCAAGAAGAATCTGAGAAGCCGCGGGAGCTGATCTCTGTCATGAAAAGGTGATCTTTTGTTCTTCATAGTTTCTCAGTTCTTAGCTTGTAAGGTAATGATTTCTCGGCTTGCCTGAGGCAAGGGCGAAGAAAGGGATAACAGGTGGGAAGGAGGCAGACATGGCAGTGGAGAGGGTTGCCAGAGACAGAAGGCAGGTCAGACATCTCAAAAGGGAGAATCGTGGTTGAGGATTTAGCTCAGTGGCATGAGCACTTGCCTAGCAGGCAAAAAGTTATGAATTCGATCCCAGGTACAAAAGAAAAGAAAAGACAAACTGGGCCTGGGTGCCCACCTGTAATCCCAGTACTCAGGAGGCTGAGGCAGGAGGATCACTGTGAGTTCGAGAACAGCCTAGGCTACAAACAGCTCAAAGCCAGTCTGAATTGCATAGCAAGACACTGTCTCAAAATGGCAAAAAAAAAAAAAAAAAAAGTGGTGGTGGTGGTGGGAAGGAATCAACTAATTCTACCCAGTGCTGGGGTCACATTAGTTCTACAATGCAATATTTCATCTGTGCATAATTTTAAAAAGATACCACTTGTATCTCAGCCACAGGACAAATCTACTTGAGAGAATGGATTTTGCATGAAGTCATCATGGTCATATTCTCTCAACAGCTATAGATTTTCAAGGAAAGAGTCTGGGTTTGTCTATATCTGGCAGATTTTCTTTCTGGTCTATCTTCAGGGAGGATCTGATGTGGGAAACCCTCATACAGAAATCTATTACCTTATTCTCTCCTCAGAATAAGGCTGATTCCCAATAGATGCCAGTTCCCATAGCACAGATATGCTGTGGTTCTCAGAAAGACTTTCCTCAAGGACTTCCTTTTCCAGTGAAGGTTCATAACTTGTAGGGTTGGGGTGGGCAGCAGCAATACCCAGACCACTCTCTTCCAAGGAAGCAGATGCTACTCTTCACTAACAATCATTACACTTTCCTTCCCAGCCAGCACTGGCTTCCCCAGCAGGAAAGTGTGAGGCAGCTCCTGTGTGCGGACTCCTCCTGCCCAACCTGCAATGCAGCGGCTCTGGAGATTCAGCAGTTGCTGGAGGATGAGAATAACCAGATCTGCCCCGCTTTATCAGGGCCACCCCAAGTTCCTCAGGTGGAGCTGTTCTCCATGTCAACTGTGTGTTTGGGGCAGAATCTGGAGCTTTGTTCTCAGCATCCTGGAGAAATTGCACTGGCATCTGTACCCCCAACACTGGCACAACTGACAGAACACTTCATGCAATCTACCAATGCAATTAGCCTCCAAGAGTACTGGGCTGATCATGTCCAACAAAGACAAAGATTTCAACTGGAAGATGCACCTATGGGCCCACAGACTATCACTTCATTGACGGTGGAGGAGCCTGTGGTTCCAGTGAATGAACAAGAAATGGGCAACCTTCACTCTGTCCAGGGGAATCAGGACCAGCAGCCTGTGGACTCTCAGCAGATCTCTTTTATATACGTGGAGCCAGAGATCACTAACTTGACAAATCCAGAGGCCTTCCATATGGTACCACAGGTCCACTTCCCATTCCTCAGTCCTGAAGTGCTGAGACTTCTTGAGGTACACATGAAAAAATGGATGCATTTCCAGAGATGGGGGCTTCCCAGGCGTGTGGAGGACTCCCTGAGGCAGTTTATGCCACACACACCAATGTATTGTGTCTCGAATAATAATCCTCAGGTCTATGTTCATGGATTTGACCACAGTGCCCACCAAACTTGGTGTTCATATATGGTTGGGGAACCCACCCAGGCCTTCTGGGTTTCTGAATGGCCTGATATGGACCTGGAACAAAGACACCACCAGGAAAGATTAAATGCTATGGGTCTATCCATACCCTCTCCTTCCTCAGAAGTCCTGAATGGTTTCTATTCACTGCCTGCGAGACAGGCTAAAGACTCAAGGAACGACCTGCATCAGGAAGACAGGCAGCTGTTCTGTGGCCTCCCCTCTCTCCACAGTGAGTCCCTGGCTGCCACTTTCTTGACCTCTGAAGGCCTCTCCAAGAGCAAGAACATGTTCAAGCCCCCGTTGAAGGAGTCCCTTCTATTCAAGGAGCTCTATTTCCACCCTTTGCTGCCCAAAACACCACCTGAGATAAATTCGCCCTTTGCTACACCTTCTCCAAATTCTGTGTCTCCAGCTGAACATCAACAAGCTCACATCAGTGTCCCGTTTCTGACGCCAGCTGAATGTGAAACCCTGGAGTGGCACCTGCTGCAGAGGCAGTTCCAGCCTCAGTGGGGCCTGCCAGCTGTCACCCAGAGGTCTCGCCATGCCCACAGTTCTGTGCGGTCTGAGCCATGTGACAAAGCCCAGGCTCCCAAGCCTATGAACATGTCCTGGCCAGGGAAACCGGTCTCAGTCCTCACCAGGAAACTGCACTTCTTCCCGGAGCATACCCGCAGGCTGCTGGAGTTTCACTTCCAGAAGCAGCTGATTCACCTCCGCTGGGGCCTGCCTGAGAAGATCCAGCAGTCCTTCCAGCTGCTCCTGTCCTCTGCTGACCAGAAGACCCTGTCCCGTAGCAGCCCAACCCTACCCAACATGAGTGTCCCCCAACCTACGGGCAAGGGGGATGGTGACCCATTCTCACCTCTACTGGCCCAAGTGTCCATCCCCATGCCACACTTGTTTTCCCAGGCCAAGGCAAAACTTCAGAACCACATTGACTCCAAATGTGGGCAGATCCACCAGGGCAATGTCCCTTGCCGTGTGTATAGCTCCTGGGAAGGCATAGTTCCTGGGGTCCTAGCAGTGGCTCCCTTCCCCTGCACTCCACAAGGTCAGCCCCTGGCGCTGCAGGCAGCGAGTGACCCTGACCTCCATGACGAACTTATGCCCAGGATGCCAACAGCCCTTCATCAGCAAAAACAGGCCTCACCAGACACTGGCACTGAACATCCTAAGCTGCACCAAACCCTGTCTCAAGGAGCCATTGAGAAACTGGAGATGACTTTACGGCACAAGTATCTCGCCTTCCTGTCAGGACTGCCTGCTCTTTACTCTGTAGCTCTCTCTGGAGCTATGGCTCCAGCAATCACTAGCTGCTCTGTAGCCGCAGTGATGGAGCCAGGGCCTGTGGAAACCCCAAAGGAGCCTCTGACTCAAAAGATCTCACTGGAAGACCCAAGTGGGAGGCTCGGGCCATGCTCTCAAAATGGCAAGACTTGGGCAGACAGTGCAGAAGATTTCCAGCCTGAGGTGCAGGTGAAAGGAAGAACACAGTCAGTGCCTCTGGAGAGCCAGACACGTCCTGGTGTCCCCTACTCATTCAAAACACGTACCTCTAACAAGCTAAACTTCCACCTGAGAAAAAAGGCCCTGGAGATAAAGTTGGGACTTTCCATAAGGGCAGTGGAGGCCAGGAAACTAACTAAAGCCAGGCCAGAGAACAAGTTCTCCCAGGCATCTCTCAGTAGTCTGAACAACCGTGGAAGCACAGTGCTCCAGCAGCCGCTCATCTTGCCAGACTCTTCTCCTGCTCCAGACTCACAGCAGGCCCACCTTAGAGACCACCTGGCCCCTCAGCCGAAGGCTGTGCAGCACAACCCACAGTCCTCTAGACCCAAATCAGCGTCCCCTGCTTCTACCAACTGGCCCTCCAAGATCTCACAGCCTGTTGGGGATATGACTGAGGCCCAGGTGCTTTGTGTTCAGGTGGAGGCCAGTGTAAACCACCCCAGCCTGGAGGAATCCTGGAGCCCTGAGCCTCAAAACCCAGGCAAGGGCTCAGCCCAGATCCCCATACTGGCTGAAAAGAGGGAGGATGTAGGGAAACCTCAAGAATCAGTTGACCTCGGAGAAGGGGATGCAGGGCATGGGCTGTCTTTGACCAGTGCAGAAAGACACTCTGATGATGCTGATGAAGATCAGAAGCCAGAAGAGATGCTTTTGGAGACAGAACTCCAAGGCTCCTCGCAACAGACCCATAGGTGTCATCTTGTGGATCCCCAGCAAAGCAGTTCCCAAGATCACCCTGAATGTCAGCTCCCAGAGCCACACACAGAGGTCCCTGGGGGGAAAGAACCTGAGCATGACATGCAGGACCATCAGAGCAAGTTAAATGTCCTCCTCAAACCTGCAAAGATCCCTGAGAACTTCCATCCTGCAGTGGCCCGGATCTCACAGGGCCAGCCAACTCAGCATAAGGGCCAAATTTTGAAAGGTCAGGTTTTTCAGAGGCAGGTGATGCCAGCCCATTCTTCCAAGAGGCCCAGCCTTCCAGAGTCTGGCCTGATAAATAAGATGAAATCTTTTCTGTTCTTCCTTGGTACTCTCCACAACCAACACAAAAATACCATGACCAAAGGCAGAGAGCACGGGAACTCTATCTTCTATACACCTGGTAAGGTGGCCAAAACCAAAAAAGAATATATGGAAAAGAGCCTGGTTCAAGCCAAAAGTCCCATGGAAAAAACTAAGCGTGACACACTGATGAGGCACCCCAAGAGCCAGTCATTCCCCATACAGCGGAGAGTGGGCCCGGACTCAGATGTTTTCCATGCCCCACGCAATAAGCTTCCGCTACGCTCCCAACTCCGTGGATCTGCCTCCGTCCCAGGCCATCTCCACCACTGTCCTCGAGTGGCTTGTTCCTCCCAATGAGGGAACCCGCTTAGCCCCCATACGTCACCTCAGAAACATTGTCTTGCTCAAGGAGAACAATTCATGACTATGAGATTCTAGCCTTCCCGTTTCTGCATTCCTTGAAGATCATTACTTACTATAATCTCTATCAATGATCAGGTATGGCAGAATGCCAGCCGAAATCACTGTGTCTATGCATTCTTTTTTTATTTTATTCCTTGTTTCCATTGTACTTCATTAAGAAAAGGCATGAAGGAGGCTTTTTTAGAAAAGCCCATCTATCAGATAGGGATATTTAACCCACAAGTTGAATGGACATTTTAAAGGAGTCCCAAGGGTCCCCATGAAGCTAAATATGACAAATGTCAAACCTAAATGATGGAATTTCTCCTGTCAGCTTCCTATTGGTACTGACAGCACCTTTCCATAGAACCCACCTGGGAGCCTACTGTAGCCCTGTTTCATGTTTCTCATCTCCACTGACTGACTGAGTGTGAAATAGATCATAATAGGAAGTGGTGGGGGCTGTCCCTCCCGCAGAGACAGTTGGGAGAGTGGGATCATGTCATCGGAGGCCTGTGTATCTGGGACAACAGCTGACATATTCCTGAGCAGGGTATGATACATGATAAAAGCCATTTTGCTTGGCCCCAAAAGGAACCCAGATCCAGGAGAAGAAACCCAGCACCCAAATTCCTTGGGGGAAGCATGGGTAAACTCTGAGCTTGGGTCTGCTCACCCTTAGGATGTGTGATGAAGGGTAGCAAATTAAGCACTGAAGTTTTTGAAGTAAAAAATATCACAAACACAAGTTTCCTAAACCTATTTGAGCCTGCAATGTTACTTGCGCTGGCCCTATTGCTATGTCCAAATTCCATACCACGTCTACCTGGGGTCCTTATCTATTACTGTTTTTCAACATCCTTACTCCATGGCAGGATGTTGGAAACGTCCATACTTCCATGGTGACAGTGCTGAAATTATCAGCCTAATCTCTGCACAGGATCTGTACAGTACCTTCCCCTCAGAAGGTGACTCTTGCTTTTGTCTCACCAAGGACTGCAACATGCAAGCCTCACAGCTCCAGCCCTTGGTTCCTGGGCCTGCCCTTCCATCTCTTCATCCCTCTGTTTCTTAACTATTTCCCCATTACATTTCAGAAACCACCAAAATCACTCATTTTATTGTTAAAAGAAAGCTTTAGGTCTTTAGAAAGTATCCTATCTATTAACCACCCACAGAAAGTGATCAAAAATCTACAGTTTATTGCCACACATAAATCTCTTATAACCTGATTAAATTTCTGGCCCATTTGCCTCTCTTGTTTGGAATGTCCAATATTTTCCTATTTCAGAGAAATATCTGTTTATCACTAATGAAAATATTATGTGCAATTCTCTGAAATCCTTGTGTTAGAGAAATCCAAGAAGGAGGTCAAGAAGCATACTGATATATGTAAGCAACTTCCAAAAGAAATAAGTTCCTCCAAACTGTATCCTGTCTGCGCTCTCCCTCACAGACTAGATGAAGTCCTCCTATAGAGCTGCTTTACATGGCCTCTCCAACAACTTGCTATCTGAGACATTTCTACAGCACTGTTGTAGCCAGGGTTTAATATAAGACATATAATTTAATGTGATGATTTTATAATATTCACCCAAAACATAGAAAAGCGCAAGCGGTCTGTTCGTGTGCTAGAGACACAATCCAGTCAAGGGCCCAGATCCCTCAGCAATGTTCTTCATGAGTCCAGTTGAAGGCCTAGAGCCCATGGCAATGTCTCACACAAATCCCTACCAAGGTTCTGCCCCAGGAAGACCTAAGGGCCAGTGGCGGAAGCTAGAAATTCTGTGCTGGTAGGGTGAAGGATCTGTGCCAGCAGGGTGAGGGATCTGCACTGGAGCCAGGAAGCGATGCTCAAGATGAGGACCAAAGCTCCCCCAAAGAGAACAACTACCATTCCTGGAGATATGGAGGGCCTGAGCTGCTCTTTCAATGAGAATATCCCAGTTTATGTCAGGAAAACCAGCCAGGGCAAGCTTCTCCAGGAAAATAACAGCAGGCCATCTTCCCTTTCCAGTATGCTGTTCCAGCAGTAATCCTCAGCTGGGTGTTCCACACCCAGAACCACACTGACTCAGTCCAGCTGGATGTTCCCCACTTAAATTGACTATTAGTTAATCCACTGCAAGCGCTTACCTGGTCCCTGTTCAGTCCAGCCTGCCCTCCCACTCCCACCAGTAACTCAAGGAAGCTTCAAGACTCCTACACAGAACTATTAATACACAGAACTATTAATACACAGAATTATTAATGAAGGCCAGCATGCTCATATGCCCTTGAACCTCTGAGAGAAGTGGACCTGGTCTTTCCTTTTCTAGTTACCTGGGTTGGGGCAGGCATTGGTCTCCCTGGAAGAAAGACTGGAACCCCCAACCTCTCAAGGAAGCCACAGCAGAGCAGCATAGCTTAAGGTTATGATTGCTTCATAAAATGAAAGATTTGGGTCACTCCCTTCCCTTTGGTGGAGACTTCTTGTTGACATGGGTAGATTATAATTTAAGGACAAGACAAACATGATCAAAGAGCAGGAAATAAGGAAAAATGGAAGGAATGGAGGAATGAGAGGGGGGAGAAAAGGATAGGAGAGGAGACAGGGAAGAGGAGGGGAAAGAGAAAAGAGAAGAGAAGAGGAGGGGAAGAGGAGAAGAAAAGAGGGGAGAGCAGGAGAGGAGAAGAGAGGAGAGGAGAGGAAGCAAGCTTGCCAAACTACAGCACAAGGAAAACATTACGAAAGTTTTGAGTAAGTGTTTTTACAACGTTCAGGCCAAATGTCTGAACCTTTGGAGAGGATGCATATTTTAAGGTCAAAGTCTCAGGAAAGGAATGTAGACCATCATGAGGGTTAGAATCTTAACTCTGGCATTTGACAAGTTAATCAAGATTTCTAAGCCATAGTTTGTCAGTGAGTGATGACTGAGCACACACTCTGACCTAAACTGTTAGAAGCCACTTCTCTGTCGTAGTCTTTCCCTTGCTCCAAACTGTACAATCAACAACTGAGGAAACTATCTTGCTCCAGAAATGCAAATTAGGAAATAGTGTCAGCATCGCTGTATGCTGTTTTACTCAGTCCATGTATCAAGACCATCACTGGGCTCTAATTTTGATAATTCTCAAGTTGGTCCCCTCTCGTCCATTTTTCAGCTCAATTTCTCATCTTTAGCTTGCCATAAGGGTTAATATCTTGTAACCCCAGAGCTCACAACAGTGGCTAGCACACAGTAATACATTCAAAGTAATTGAATGCAAAGTTTGGGCTATGAAGTAGACAAATCACTGCATCAGAGCGATGAATGGTGTAAGTGTGGGGTCACGCCACAAAACAGAGCATGAGAAAGACTTCAGAAGGTTTGCAATAAAATTGGCTTTCAGAAGCAGCTTGCATTTGATGGTTAAAATGTTTGAGTATTTACTATGTACTAAGTACCATGACAAACACAAGACACAGGCCTGGCCACAGCAGAACACCTGGTCTCGTGATGAATCTTTCACATATCCAAACTGCAGGTCATCATGACCACTTGGAAGCCAACATTCATCTCAAACTATCCAGTGCTGAATCCCTGACCCATCCATTCACACATAACAAGTCTGTTCCAATCAGGGATGACAGCTCCATCTTTCTAGTTGTTCAGACCATGAACAATGGTGTCGTCGTTGAATTTTCTTCCTCCTAACAGTCCACATCCAATCCATCAGCAAATCCTGTTTTCTCTATGTTCGAATAGGCACCTACACTGCTCACATCCTTCTGTTCTTGACACAGAGACAATGGTGTTTTCAGAGAGCAGAGAGACAGTCTCTGACTGAGAGACAGAGGGCAGAGATAGAGACAGAGACAGAAGGTGAATAGGAGACACTTGGGAAGCAAGAAGACAGTAGAAGTGCCCCAGGTAGAGGGAGAGGACCTGTGGGCAGATACATAATATCCCTCAGTAAACGACACCAGAGCACCCTTCTAAAAATGTTTCATAGAAGAGGCAAGAGCTGGAGTAAAGGCAAGAACTACAGAGCCTCCTTTGGATGTATTACAGGGAACAGGGCTCCTGGTTCCTAATTCCTGGACCCTAATTCCAGAGTCAGTCAGTATCCCATCAACTAGGAAGAAGTAATGGCAGGACCTGCTCCTCAGATAGAACTTCATTGTTTAGCACAGGGTGTTCTCAGCTAGCAGGCTGTGGAAAGCCCAGAAGGGAAGAAGCATGAGTACATCTCCCCCTCCTCAGTGGTGATTCAGTGTCTAAGGGACAGAGGCACAACTGTTAGTTGGCCTCCAGAGCAGAGTAACACAAAGCCCTGGCCTGCTGAGCCAACACTCTCCAGGCGGTTTTTGGAACCATCCTCAAAGATCGTGGAAGGTCTTGTGACAGGCATATCCTGTCTGACTCAGGGAGCTGGGCACACAGCCACAAGTGAGACCAGAGGGAGACACAGAATGAAGGGAATTCAATCAGAAAGGTCACAGTGGCAGCAGGTAGGGGCTGGGTCAGCGTGCACACATCCTGGGTTAGGGTGGAGCAGGCCCTTCCCATGGTTCCCCCAGGGTTCTACCTCTCATACCCCAGCGTGAATCCATGCCCCTCTCCGAAGTCCTGTGACACAGAGCTGGAGCAGAGAGAAGAGCTGGAACAGAGATGTTCAGGATTCGTGGTTCTCAGCAAAGTTCTAAGCAAAGAACTGAAAGAAGGAGGAGGGTCTAGGACCCATGCAGGGTGCTGACGGAGGATGAAGCCCTCTGACTCTGTATCACAACCTGAGCATAAACCCGCGTTTCACCTCCCCTGTGCTTAGGACGGAAAACTCAGACGAAACAAAAGCCTCATGAGGGCACATGCTGAGGGATTTGCTATTCCAGAATCAGGGGTAGATGCTAACAACATCAGTGCTTTGGGGGAACAGTGGGGTTCACCTCTAGGGGCTGTTCATGGTGAATGGCTCTGAGTGTCTAGAGTCCTTTCCCTACACCCATGAGAAGAACACTTCAGAATGTTCTGGAAGGGATTCCAAGCACGTGGTCACCAGCAGAGGGAGGAGAGTGGCCCTCTACACCACCACTTCTGTGAAATGGCAGCTTCTCTTTCACATCTTCTCACTGCAGTCCAGGCAGGGAGGGAAAAGA